TCCCTACCTGCTTGTGTGCCAGTGTACCTGGTCCCCTGCTTCAGCATTAAGGGCATGTCAGAGATACTGATGGCTCCAAAATTCTCTTTTCATCTGTCTGAATCAACAATGAAACTACCTGGCCTGGTATGGTTACATATTACCCATCCATCTCTCATCCATTCCAACAGCTTAGTAGTCCTTCATGACCTGACCTACCAATCATTGTGGCAACTGAAAACACCCCATGGAGTTCACAAGGCTTTCAAGGGACAAGATCACCTGCACTAAGAACTCATACTCATACTGGTGTGAGGGGAAGGCAACACCAGTTGTCAGCAAGGGCTGGAGCAGCAATTTCTGCCTTGCTGAGGCCACTAAGTGTGAAGAAATTACTTGGAACAATCACTGGGAGCCACTGTTCTAAACGGAGCATGTGATTTCTTACCAGTTAAGGCAATAACCCCCAAAAGCACCCTGGGGTGCTATGCCCAGGGTAGAGCTCTCCTCAGAGGTTCTCCATCCTGCCTCATGTTGGAATCACAGGAATCTTAAAAAATACTGGCACCTGGGTCTCACCACAAACACTGATTTAATTGGCCCAGTGTGATGAGAAATACAACTTCCTTTTTCTGAGTTACTAGGTTTGCAATGTTACATTTTTCAATATGATAACCCTACTCACACCCAGAACCAGAACATTTTTAGATAAGAATTGAGTTTTAGATTCCTGCCACAAATTCCTACTTTGCTTTACTGAGGGGGCACCTTACAAAACAACTGCTTAGAAAAGAGGGAACACTTCCAACATATTATATGAGGCCAACATCACTAATATCAAAACCTGATGAAGACATCACAATGAAAGAGAATTACAGACCAATTTCTCTGATAAACATAGATGAAAAATTCCTCAACAAAACCTTAGTAAACTGAATTCAACAATATATCAAAAGAATTATACATCATGACCAAGTGGGATTTATTCCAGGGACAAAGGAATGGTTCAACATCTGAAAATCAATCAATGTAATTCACTAAATCAACAAAAGGAAAGATAAAAATCACATGGTTATAGCAATAGATGCAGAGAAAGCACTTGATAAGATTCAACTATATTTATCATAATAACCCTCAAAAAACTGAGGATAGATGGAACATTCTTCAGCATAATAAAGGCCATTTATAATAAGCCCACAGGCAACATCATACTCAATAGTAAAGAGCTGCAAGTTTTTCCTCTAGGATTTGGTAGAGGAAAGATTGTCCACTTTCACCACTACCATCCAACATATTGGAAGTCCTAGCCAGACCAATAAGGCAAGAGAAAGGAATCCAAACTGGGAAAGAAGTAAAACTATCACTATTTGCAGATGACATAATAACTGAAATAATAACTCAGTTCAGTAAAGCGGCCTGATATAAAATCAATTTGCACAAGTCAGTTTTGTTTCTATATGCAAACACGTTAGAAGAGAATGATATCAAGAAAACATTCCTGTTCACAGTTACAGCAAAAAGAATTACATACCTAGGACTCAAAATAATGAGACAAAAAGTGGAAAAATAGTCCCTGCCCAGAGATTTGAAAAATTAACATTGTTAAAATGCTCTTCCTACTTAAAACAATAGGTAGGTTCAATGCAATCCCTATCAAAGTTCCTGTGGCATTCTTCAAAAACTAGAACAACACTAAAATTCATATGATACTATGAAAGACCCCATATAGACAAAATAATTCTGACAAGAGGAAGTGTGAAGGTATCACACTCCCAGACTTCAAACTATACTACTAAGCTATAATAATCAAAAACAGTAGTAGGACAAAAACAGACACTCAGTTCAATGGATCTCAAAAGTCCAGAAATAAACCCATACATTTATGGACAGTTAATCTATGACAAAGAAGCCAAGATTGTACATTGTAGAAAAGAGAGTCTCTTCAACAAACGGTATTGGGAAAACTTGACAGACAACATGCAAAAGAATGAAACTAGATCACCATCTCACACCTTACACAAAAATTAATTCAAAATGTATGAAATACATGCACATAAGACCCAAAACTATGAAAATAAATTGAAAGAAAAAAATAGGCAAAACACTCCACAACATAGGTTTCAGAGATGTCTTTGGAGATTTGTCTCCAATGGCAAGAGATGCAAAGGCAAATATTAACAAATGAGATTGCAAACTAAAAAACTTCTGCACAATAAAAACCTATTAGTAAAACAAAAACACCCCCATTCTCCCATGGGGGAGAAAATGTTTGCACATAATACATCTGACAAAAGAGCTCATAGCCAAAGTAAATAAAGAACTCACATGCATTTAACAAAAAAAAATCAATCTAATCAAAAAATGGGCAGAAGAGCTAAATAAATATTTTTCCAAAGAAGATATACCACTGCCAAACAGGCGCATGAAACATCATCACTTATCATCAAGGAAATGCAAACCAAAACTACAATGAGGTGTCATCTTACACCCGAGAACACCCATATCAAAAAGACTAGAAACAGTAAGATTTGGTGAGGATGTTGAGAAAAAGGAATGCTTGTACACTATTGATGGGACTGGAGATTGTCCAGCCCCCGTGGAAAATAGTATAGGAGTTTTTAAAAATATTAAAAATAGAGCTACCAGCAATTCCACTCCTAAGTAGCTACCCAAAGAATGCACAAATACCAATTCAAAGTGATGTATATACTCCCATGCTCACTGCAGCCCTACTTACAATAGTCAAATCATGAAACAATCTAAGTGCCCAAGGACAGAGGAATAGATAAGAAAAGTGTGGTGTATATGTATACAGTAGAATACTACTTAACTATTAAAAAAAAAAAAAAAGAATGAGTTTTTGCCACGTGTGACAACATGGATAGAAACTGAGCAAAATATATCAGAAGGGAAAAGACAAATACTGGTTCACTTATATGTATAATTTAGAAAAACAAAACAAAGTGTCAGACAAAACTAAAACAATAACAAACCCTTGGCATTTAACTGCTAAACTGAGGCATCTAGAAAGGAAGTGTGGATATAGGAGGGGGGAAGGGAGGTCCAATGGAACATAGTGGAGAATTTTTTGGACAATGGTGGGCATGGTTTGAAAACATACATTTATAGAAGTTTGAACCTATAACCCCTAAAACAAGTACAATGATATAATTAATTTTACCTCAATAAGTTTAGGTAATTAACTAGTTGGGAGACTGATTAATTAGTCAACCAATTAAAATCCATAGTGACCTAAAAAAGAAATACGTGACAAAAATCCATAGTGACAAAAAAGAAAGACGTCTTAATTTCCAACCCCATGATTGACTCATTGAATAAAACTGTTATATTGGCCTCTGAGAGACTATATATTACAATACATAATGACACATATAAAGGTATGTTTTTAAATAAAACTTTTAAAGAACAATTTAAAAAAATCAGTCATAAAATATTTAACATAGAAATCTGATGGTATAAAATCAAACTAATTTAAACTTCAAAATTAAATAGTTCATCAAAACAAAGAAAAACTACAAGATCCAGGCTTCCAGGAGATGTAGTTTGCCAGAAGAGATTTGGGGAAAAGGCCAACAGGAAAGCTCACACTGTCTAGACACAACCTTTAAAAAAAAAAAAAAAAAGTACTTCAAAATATTAGGATTTAATGGCAGTTAGAAGAAGGGATTTGATTGGCAGTTGGGGAAGGGATTTGATTCTAGTCCATGTAACAATTCAGGGAAACAAATGATAGAAATTTAGCCTTCTTTATTTAGTGCATATCTTCATTTTCTCCTGTGACCTTGGAGACTCCTTGAGATCTTCTCCAGTCATAAATACAGTCTTTGTGCAAGAAAGAAAGGAAATGGTTCATAAAACAATCAGCCAGTCTAATACTTTATTTTGTTGAAATCACTGAACTCTTGTTATTATAGGTTGTTCATTAAAAAAAAAAACCCTTAATACCAATATATATAGAAGTTGTCTGATTTTTGCCCACATGTTAGCCAACTCTGACATTAACCAAGTATGTTAACCAACTGTGTAATCTTAGGCAACTATTTTGAGGCTCAATGTGCTTTTAAAATGATGAAACTCAAATAAATCACTTCAGCCATTACATATGAATTAGGTATTCTAAAAGTAAAACAAAACATTAAACCCCCAGTTTATTTCAAACAAATAAAATAACTGCCAAAAGTTAAGGCCAAGAAAAATTACTGACCATAGTCCCCACCACTGTTAGGTGCTTGCCACCCTGCTCTCTAACTCCCGTTCGCTTGAGACCCGGGAGGGAGGACCCTGGCTCTCAGCCTCTGGGATATGTGAATATTAAATCTTGTGACTCGGCTTCCTTCATATGAATGTACTGAAAGTGCATCTTTAATAAAAACGATCCCATGTGTTTTACTTCCCCAAAGTAGAAACCCAGATGCTGAGGGAGCTACCTGCCCGCCCCTTGTGGAGAACTTCTGCCTCCTTATTCACCAGGTCACAATATGCACATTCCTAATCCAGTACACCAGCTGGGACTTCTCAGCACACCTGGACCCGGCTATTTAAACGCTCCCAGTGATTTTCCAGCTCTGACAACCAGTTACTGAGAGACTTTGTGGGGTGGGGGTGAGAAGAGAAGCTTTGAGATAAACACTTTCCACTGACTGAAGGTGTTTCCTTATTCCTCTCTTGATTTAATCTACTCTTCCTTTTCTCCCTTCTACTCATTATTATTATAAGTATTGAAAATTAATTGGACAGTTTCCTTTTGTCCATCCAAACAATTATTCCATTGCAACAAAAGGTAAAGATGAAAAAAGTAGGACCGTCGACAGATTCTTCATGTTTTTATTGCCTCCTGGCTGAAGGTCTTACGCTAAGGGAGCAGTAGGAAAGTTAGGGTGACACACTTGGACTCAGGGTAAGTAGGAAATGAGTCAAGTTCAACCTGACCCACTTCACATACCCAACCATCAGACTTTCTAGAAAGAGCGTTTCTCTTAAACACTCCTGGTTTCCTGTAGGTTCTGTGTTCACATCTGAGGGAGACCAAGACTCAGGCCTTCTCCACACACCTTGTAGAAGTTCCTGAAAGAAGGCACTGTCTGCTGTGAACTGCTGGTTCTGCCTGTCTGCCAGGAGGACATTAATGAGAACACAGCTCACCACCTGCACTGCTGGCTTTTATGATGAAAGGCTCAAAGCTCTTCGTTACTTGTGAAGCCTAGTTTCAGAATATTATGTTCTCATGACATTTGTGAAAGAATCTTTAACTTAGGTGCTGTTGGTTTAAAAAGTCACACAGTCTGTGAGTTCTCCAAAATTTAAGCCCTCGTGGGAACCGTAATTGTGCATCTTACACTAGATGTTCCTAATGTAAGGATCATAGATAAAAGGAGAGGATGGGAATCGTTTCCATGTCCAAAGGTAGCTGCTTGAGGTGTTTCCTGATTTATAAAAATAAGCGTCATTTAATCGATAGCTGTATTAGCAATAGTTTATGACTCATTTGAACTTGATATCAGTTCATTAAGATAGTCCTGGCCCAACTGGTCAATACTATGGGTCTAATTTAATCTGGGTACATACAGAGCCTCAATGATATATGTACAGAGGCTTATATTATACATAAACATTTGTCGTATATTTAACCTAATGAATGACCTTGCTCTGCAGAACAGTGTATATATTGTACAGGTTGCAGATTCACTCCTTACCCTTTACCCTCTGCTCTGAGGGTTGGGAGGAAAATCTGCAGAGAGATTTCCCAGTCTGCCATGTCACCCGGGTTCCAGCTGGGTTCAGCCAGTAAGAAGCACTGGAGTGGGAGGAAGGAGAAGACTAGGGTGTTTCTTCTTAATAAACCTCTTGACTTTGAATAAGATCTCCAGCCCCTGCCAGAAAGGTCCACTGTGGTTTCAGCAATCGTAGCCCCTGGGCTCAGCTAACACCATCTCTTCCGTTTGCTCCTCCACCCCAGGATTAGAAGTGGCTTCTCAGTATCATTAATTTAAACTTTTGAGCTCATCTATCACCTATGTAACTAATGGCATATGTTAACTCCCTGATGTTATAAATATGCACAGTGGTTTCTATGCATAGTGGTTAGACCATGGCTGGTAAATATGTGTCATGATTAAAACACATTTTCCTTTAACATGCCCTAGTTTTTAGCAGTTTCATTAATTAGGGCTGTGGTTACCAATCTAGTATTATTATGTGATTATTTGTTTGAAGGGTAATTTATAATCTTAAATTATTTTTATTAGTTGCCAGTAAAATTTCTAAATGCTTAAATTTCATAAATACTTGTGAATTCTACCATCTCTGTCTTCAAAGCAGTGGCCTAATGTTACTCAAAATGTTCATATGATAAATGTAATGGAAATAGTGAATCATAGGCCAATGAATGATTGTTATTCATAAGAGAACCACTGCTGTATTTTGCAGAAATAGCCCACATTCATTCTCGAGCTAAATACTTGTTGAAATCCAGCAAGAGCGTCACAGAGGAATGATTGGTAATAGTTACAGTAAAAGAAATGCGCACAATAACCTTGGAACTTGGGAGTAATTTATACCTCCCCCTTTAAGTGATCTATTTTTATCAGCACTTGCAATATCTTTCCTGAACCTTTGCCTAAAACACTCCCTCCTGCTGCCTACAAGTTCAGATGGACCATATCATTCCAGGAGAGGAATGCATTCTTGGCTGTATTCTAAGAGTCCTCAACTAAAGCAATTCACCATATCTACCACTTTTTTTCTTCTCTCACTTCTTCATTTTGCCCAAGTTAAGAGGGCCCTACAAGTGTAACAAAAGCACATAAAAGAGCTGTTTAAATATGTGTCAATGGAGTATATGAATGTCAGATTAAAGATGGCTGATTAAGCATACTTGATTTTATCCTCACCAAGACTTCACTAAGATGATAATAAAGGCATTCAAAAAGTGATAAATACCCAGTAATGGCAAAGTGACTTAAACAAAGAATAGATTTCAAAGAATTTCTGGAGGGTAGACAGTAGATGGAGAAGTGGCAGAAGAAAGAGAACAGTGGAAGCTAAACTTAAATTACATGGGTATGAGGTTGCAGGGGGATAGAACCAAGCAGGAGCTCTTTTGTAAAGTTTGGGACACAGGCAATTCATAAGCATTGGATGAGTGAAATAATGGTGACTGATAAGATAGCACAAAGGAGCAGTTGGACCCTCACCCCAATGGGCAGCCATATAGGCTGTCCCCCTGCAAGGCTCCCACTCCCAACAAAACACAACCACGGGCCTCCCCTGGTGGCACAGCGGTTGAGCACTGGGCTGCGAAGCTGCCCACAGCCTCTGCAGCGCTGGTTCGATCCCCGGCCACCGGGTGAGGGTCCCACATGGCGTGACAGACCTCTCCTGCCACGACCGCTGCTCCTGTCAGCAGTGTATTTCGTCACTCTTCCTGTTCTGCTCCCCACTCTGGCTCTGGTGAATTCTCTCACCCTCCCATGCTTCTGACTGTACCCAGTGCTTGTATAAATTAATTAATTAATTTAAAAAACTACACTTATAAAAAAATAAATAAAAATAAAATAAAATAAAACACAACCACCTCTTCTCTCTACACAATGTAATGACCCCAAAGACAAAGACTCCTGATATGCTGGTATGTAGCCCTTCCTTTGCTAAATAGCTTGATCTCTGCCAAGTAATCAATGCAAAAGTAAAAAAAAAAGCAGGAGAGAGTTATATAGTACCGTGATGAGTACATTATATATTCATTTATTTAATGCTCACAACTCTAGGAAGAGACTGAAGCACAGAGTGTTTAGATAACTTGCCTGAGATTACACATCAAGTAAGTGACTGAGCTAGATCTCTGCAAGGTAAAGGCCCAATTAACAAACCCGATCCAGGAGCAAGCAAACAACAGTTAGCCTCTTATTGTCTTATTCTGAAATAAGAACAATTAAGGATAACCAGATACTTGATGAAAGGCCACAACATTCTTATATTAAAATAAATACAAGAATGACCTAGAAGAAAGAGAAGGCAGGAAACAGAAGGATAAAGAGGAATCTCCAATTAGCATCAGCAGAGATATCTGAGAAAATATTGCATCATAAAAGAGCAGGACGCAGTTAAAAAGAAACAATGAGAGAAGTATAAGTAGCATTGGAAATTAAAAACACACTAGCTAAAAAAAATTAACATAAACATTGGAATAAATATTCAAAGAAATCTCTCAGAGAAAAGACAAAGAGATGGAAATCATAAGTGAAAAAAGGAAGGTGTCCTAGAGGCCTAATGAAGGACATTTCACCTTTGACTAATAGAATCTACAGAAATGAAAAATGGATAATAGAAATATAAGACATTTTCCAGACTGAAACATGTGAGTCTCCTAGACATATAGTGACTAAAATTGTACATTGAGGATATAGAAAAGGTCCTTTATGACACTGGGTATCTGTTCTGTGGTGAAAGCCCTTTGTACATTCTCAGTATATTTGGTTCAGGTTCTAAAATGAGTAATGGGGTTTACATTTTTGTGACCGTGAAGTTACTTTTTGCTGTAGGGTTAGTGATCATTCTGATTACATTTCTTGTATAGCTATTTGAGGTTCCCTCCTGGAATTTGTATTTGCCTTCTGAGAATCTTTGTCATTATTTAATCTTCAAGTCTATCTAATCTCCGCAGTCAGACATTCTATCAAGTCCCTTTCTCTGCTCCAGAGATCCTTCTATCTACCAGAAGAAATGCCTTAAAAAAACGGTGCCTCCTTGGCACAAAGGGTTAAGTCACAGCACTGTGATTCTATCAGCAACTACAGCATGAATTTGATCCCAGGCCGGCCCGGGAGCTAACCCATATGGCACAATAAACCTCTCCTGTGTCGCCCGCTGCTCCCTCAGCAGTGTATTTCAGACAGTCAGTCTATTCTGTTCCCCACTCTGTCTCTGATGAATCCTCTCACTCCCCACACTTCTGGCCTGTACCCCAGTTCTTGCATGCATAAATAAATAGATCTTTAGGGCCTCCCCTCGTGGCTCAGTGGTTGAGCACTGGGTTGTGAGGCTGCCCGCAGCCTTTGCAGCGCCAGTTTGATCCCCGGCCACCGGCGAGGGTCCCACAAAATAAATAAATAAATAAATAAATAAATAAATAAATAAATAAATAAATAAATAGATCTTTAAAAAAACAGAAATGCCTTAAAAGGTGAGAAATGGTTGCCCCTGCAGAGTGGAAATGGAGAAGACAGGAAATTATTGCTTTTATTTATTTTTTTATTCACAATGGACATGACTATTTTTTTTTTTTTTGTGGGACCCTCCTCTCCCCTCCCCGGTGGTCGGGGATCAAACTGGCGCTGCAGAGGCTGCGGGCAGCCTCGCAACCCAGCGCTCAACTGCTGCTCCACCAGGGGAGGCCCTCTTTTGACAAAACTTTTAAAATTATCGAACATGGGTTGAAAAATAGAAAAAAAAGGAGGTAAAAATATTATCACACAGATCAGTGTTGTGTCACCCCTGGGTCTGAGGACTTCTAGAGAGCTTGTCTTGTTCTTATTTGACTTGAGAGATGATTTATACTTTATACTTATGTTTGATGAATTCTTATATGATTCATACTTTTTAAAAGGTTTATGACATACTTTCATTACAAATATCAATTTAAATATGTAGTCCATACCTAGTAGATCAAAACAAAAATTATCTTACAAAGAAAAAATTATAAATATATCTTTTTAAGAGAACAAATATATATGTATACATCAATTTTCCCTCTTTTGCTTCTATCAGATTCCAAATTATAAATTGAAAATTTAGGTATAAGTATAATCTTCATCTAACTTTTTTTATATCTGCATTAAGCTTATATTTTTGAGAGTTTTTTAAATCCACATGGGGAAAAAAAGAGAAGATGCAATTTGAACCTGCAGTTGCTCAAAATTTCAATATGAACAAAATTAAAGCCTTGTTTTATGAAGTTATATTATTAGAAGTGCACATCTGATTCTCTAGGTCAGTTTCACATTGACTGAGCACCTGATATCTACCAGGAATCCATTTGTCT